GCTCCACCCACCCCTGTTAGGTAACTCCTCCACCCACCCCTGTTAGGTAACCTGCTCCACCCACCCCTGTTAGGTTAACCTTGCTCCACCCACCCCTGTTAGGTAACCTTCTCCACCCACCCCTGTTAGTAACCTTGCTCCACCCACCCTGTTAGTAACCTTACCCACCTGTTAGGTAACCTTACTCCACCCACCCCTGTTAGGTAACCTTGCTCCACCCACCCCTGTTAGGTAACCTTGCTCCACCCACCCTGTTAGGTAACCTTGCCCACCCACCCCTGTTAGGTAACCTTCTCCACCCACCCCTGTTAGGTAACCTTGCTCCACCCACCCCTGTTAGGTAACCTTACTCCACCCACCCCTGTTAGGTAACCTTGCTCCACCCACCCTGTTAGGTAACCTTGCTCCACCCACCCCTGTTAGGTAACCTACTTCCACCCACTTTAGGTAACCTTACTCCACCCACCCCTGTTAGGTAACCTTGCTCCACCCACCCTGTTAGGTAACTCACCCACCCTGTTAGGTAACCTTGCTCCACCCACCCTGTTAGGTAACCATTCCACCCACCCCTGTTAGGTAACTCATTCACCCACCCTGTTAGGTAACCTTGCTCCACCCACCCCGTTAGGTAACCTATTTCACCCCTCTGTTAGGGTAACCTTGCTCCACCCACCCTGTTAGGTAACCTTATTTCACCCACCCCTGTTAGGGGGTAACCTTGCTCTGCCCACCCCTGTTAGGTAAACTACTCCACCCACCCCCTGTTAGTAACCTGCTCCACCCAATCTCTGTTAGGTAACCTTGCTCCACTCCACCCCCTGTTAGGTAACCTTGCTCCACCCACCCCTGTTAGGGTAACCTTGCTCCACCCACCCTGTTAGTAACCTTGTTCCACCCACCCCTGTTAGGTAACTTTACTCCACCCACCCCTGTTAGATACACCCTGTTCAATTCCACCCCCTGTTAGGTAACCTGTTCACCCACCCCTGTTAGTAACCTGTTCACCCACCCCTGTTAGGGTAACCTGCTCCACCCACCCCTGTTAGGTAACCTGCTCCACCCACCCCCCTGTAACTCCATTCCACCCACCCCCCTGTTAGGTAACCTTGCTCCACCCACCCTGTTAGGGTAACCTTACTCCACCCACCCCCAGCAAATTGCTCCACCCACCCCTGTTAGGGTAACCTTACTCCACCCACCCCTGTTAGGTAACCTTGCTCCACCCAATTTCTGCTAAACTTGCTCCACCCACCCCTGTTAGGTAACCTTGCTCCACCCACCCCTGTTAGGTAACCTTGCTCCACCCACCCCTGTTGTTAATACCTTGTCTCCTTTACACATAAACACATGGGATCTTTTATAGCATTAAACTGTTGATATACAAGTGGTGGTAGATAATTGTTTCAGTGTTATAGAACGGTACAGTCGTATAGAAGGTACATGGTGTAATTTTGCAGTTTACAGACAACAATACAGGGGTGATGGCGCAAAGTGCAGTGGAGTGTAGCGTTGTAATGGTGTAGCTGTATGGCACAATAGTGTGAGTGCGTGTGTGTACAGTATTGTGTATCAACGACCTCCTCCCACTGGGTTAACCGGTAGTGAGCCGAGAGTGTTGCGTGGGTGATGACCGCTGCTGACCTTGGTGTTGTGTGGCGTATGTGTATATATATATATATATATATATATATATATATATATATATATATATATATATATATATATATATATATATATATATATATGTATATATATACACATAAGAATGGAGGAAACTGCATCGGGCCTATTGGCCCATACTGGGCAGTCCCGTTTACACCCAATCCCTATTGCTCATATAAGCATCCAACCTATGTTTGAAGCAATTCAGCATATTCTAGTTAATGATGATATTTGGTAACTTGTTCCATTCATCCACTACTCTGTTAAAAAACCAGTGTTTACCTATTTCACGCCTAAATCTAAATTTGTCTAATTTAAAACCATTGTTACGAGTTCGCTCCTGGTTGGATAGTTTGAGTACCTTTGTAATGTCCCCTTTGTTTAGCCCTGCCTTCCACCTGTACACCTCTATCAGGTCGCCCCTCGCTCTACGTCTCTCGAGGGAGTGCAAATTAAGATGCTTTAACCTGTCTCTATACTCAAGGTTCCTAATGCCCGGGATTAGTCTTGTCATTCTCCTCTGAATTCTTTCCAAGGATTCTATATCCATTCTGTAATACGGTGACCAGAACTGAACTGTGTAATCCAGGTGTGGTCTCACAAGAGCAAGATAGGATTTATATATATATATATATATATATATATATATATATATATATATATATATATATATATATATATATATATATATATATATATATATATATATATATATATATATATATACTGTATATAAATTTTTCGTGCGTGCGTCTGTACATACGTGTATGTGTGTGTTTGATCCTCCACCCCATGGTTACTTTCATGAATTTATTGGTCTCTCTCTTTTAGTACAGCATTAGGTGTGTGTGTGTGTGTGTGATCATTACCTAAATTGCATTAAACTCCCCCACTCGCCACAAACCTCACCAACAACACTACTACTAACTTTACCACTGTCCTCATTCCCTCCATAACTATCAATTACACAACACCTTCGTTATTTACAACACCCAGTACCATAATCACTCCTGACAGCACATTAACTTCGCATAGTGTTGTGTGTAAGTCATGTCGAAGGTGGCAATCGCTGCGGTTTTGTCGACATTTTAGAGCGTCTTGATAGTAGTCTTATCCAAGTGGGTATATTAGCCACACTGAACCTTTGACCACAGAATCCACAGGAACTTGCTCTACCTGGGGTCGGGGGACCTTTACATTACACCATGGTCGGCGGTTCATGGAAACTGACTCATGACCCGAGAGAGGAAAACCAGAGTTCTTGTCTTAGTAACATGGACGGCTCGGATACCTAACCTTACCTGATCTAACCTAACCTAACCCACCCTTACCAGATCTAACCTAACCTAACCTGATCTAACCTAACCTTACCTGATCTAACCTAAAGTAACGTTAATAGACTAATAATCAAACCAAACCTAACGCTAATCTCACCTAACGCTACTCTCACCCTAACCTAACCTAACCCAACCCTAACCTAATCCATCCTTATATCGATAAACACACGCAGGTTACAGCAACATGTCATATAGCGCCAACAGAAGAAGGGGTAAACATTTATTTCTGTAGAGGGCGACGGCGAAAATCAACGCTCAGACATTGACGGCGGGGTTTTTCATGAGGCTGCTGAGAATATTGTAAGACCCAAGAGATAATAATGGGGACTTCAAGACACAGAATTTATATTAGTTGAATACCACAACACTGTAACAACTGCCTCAACTAAACACATATGCACTAAAGAATGGTAATGATATACTGAAGAATGGTAATGATATACTGAAGAATGGTAATGGTATACTGAAGAATGGTATACTGGATACTTTTATACACTATATCCTAAATTCTTACACTGTGTACGATCAAGTAATCTCTCGAGGCTGTTCACAATTCATAGCAACACACAGTCTTAATAGTAACAATATCTGAGAGCGTCTAAATGTGTTCACACTGTACACTTGAACGACAGACGCGAGATTTAACCTACAATATACTGTACTACATCATGGCACTTACATCGGTAGTATTTGGAAGTCTGATCTATAACCTGACCAGGGAAACAACATACCCTGGTGGAGCGATAAACCCGACATATTGGGACTAAATGTTACCAGTAAAGTGTAAGAGGATGATAAGTATACAGTACAGTGAGGGAACAGTTTTACCACCACCGCCTGAGACTCACCACTAAGTAGGACTCCATCAGTACATATGCTACACCCTGCCTTCTCCCCCGTCTTGAGTGTGGTAGCGTAGGTGAACGAAACGGTTGTGTACTGTGATGTAAATGAACGTGAGATGTACCATGACACGAGTGTATAGGTGAACCGTGAGGTGTTTTATGTGTATTAAGGTGTAAGTGTATTGTATATGGATATAGATGGGCGTATGATAAGTGTACCTACCATTCTTTATCAAAGATGAGTGAGAACTGAACGGTTGGGTTGTCTAGTTAGGGTTGTGTCGTCAACATATTGAGTTGTGTAGTGGATGGTGGTAGTTTTGGTCGTTAGTGGTAGTTGTTATATGTTGGTTCATGGTGGTAGTCCATTTGTGGTTGTGGTTTGTGAAGGTAATCCATGTGTGGTGGTGAAGGTAATCCTTGTGTGGTGGTGATGGTAATCCTTGTGGGGGGGAGAGGGTAATCCTTGTGTGGTGGTGAAGGTAATCCTTGTGGGGGGAGAGGGTGTGGTGGGTGATGGTAATCCTTGTGGGGGGAGGGAACCTTGTGTGTGGTGTGGGGGGAGAGGGTAATCCTGTGTGGTGTGATGGTAATCCTGTGGGGGAGAGGGTAATCCTGTGTGGTGGTGATGGTAATCCTTGTGGGGAGAGGTAATCCTGTGTGGTGGTGGGGGGGAGAGGCAATCCTGTGTGGTGGTGATGGTAATCCTTGTTGAGAGTAATCCTTGTGGTGGTGATGGTAATCCTTGTGGGGGAGAGGGTAATCCCTTGTGGGGGAGAGGGTAATCCTTGTCCATTGTGTGGTGGTGATGGTAATCCTTGTGGGGGGAGAGGGTAATCCTTGTGTGGTGGTGAAGGTAATCCTTGTGGGGGGGAGAGGGTAATCCTTGTGTGGTGGTGAAGGTAATCCTTGTGTGGTGGTGATGGTATCAGAGTACTAAGTGACTTTGACATCCTCAGCGAAAACTAGATGACAGTGTCCAGGGAGACGAGGTACATGTACTACCTCAAGACGTGTACTGAAGGGAGAGAAAACAATATTTGATTTATGTACAGTTATGTAGTGGTCCAGCTGGTGTTAACACTCACAGGTGTGGTCCAACAGGTGTTAACAATCACGGGTGTGGTCCAACAGGTGTTAACAATCACGGGTGTGGTCCAACAGACGTTAACAATCACAGGTGTGGTCCAACAGGTGTTAACAATCACAGATGTGGTCCAGCAGGTGTTAACAATCACAGGTGTGGTCCAACAGGCGTTAACAATCACAGGTGTGATCTAGCAGGTGTCAGAGAGCATCAAGACAAGCGGACAGTTGTCATGGAAGAAGACGTAATTTTCACCATCATCAAGATCCTCATTGCCGGCCTCTCTACACAGGTGAAGCACTACTAGTAATTGTTAATGCACCTCATCATTGTATTTTATTAATATTTAACCGATGACCCTACTTTCGTGTTCTTCTGTTGTCGACCACCACTCCTTCGCTACAACAGCTAAAGAAGCATGGCACTTACAGGAAGATGCATGACACTAGTCAGAGGAGGCCTGGCACTAGTAAAGGAGGCGCGGCACTAGTAAGAGGAGGCTTGACACGAGTAGAAGGCGTGCCACTAGGCGGAGGAGGCGCGGCACCAGGAAGACGTGGCTCAGGGTCCCAGCTGTCAAGGTCAACAGGTTTATGGACCCAGCTGAGTACTACAACTAGCCTGTACGTGACTCCCCTTGTCCTTGATGACCGCCTGTACGTGGTCGTTCTCTATAACCAATAATACAGGCGTCGTCGCGGTGTCTAGACTCGCGAGCCACTGACCTTTGACCTGACCCTCACTCACCTACACCCATTTATCACCCTGTTAATCTCTCTTTCAGGTAAAAAAAGACTGTACTAAAAGAACCTTGGAGAATTTCAACCCCGACGTGTGGTTAGCTGCGGGGAAGTTTGTGGTGATTTACAATTGTCACACTATTGTCTCAGCCGTGTGGTGGGCTGAGTGTGGCCGATGTGTGGTGGGCTGAGTGTGGCAGAGATGTGGTAAGCTGAATATAGCCAATGTGTGGTTGACATTACAGGGTGTAGCCTTGTAATACGCGTTTCCTCACATCATGGGTTGTTGCGGTACACCTTCACTTATGTTTACGTCTGTTAGCGTGACCGTGCACACCTAACCACCGGAGATAAAATATTACCCAATCCTCCCTCTTTTTGTCTTTGTTACTTTAGGTAATTTTATATCCTTTTAGGGAGATAATTTTAAGAGGTGTTTATGTTTAATCTATTTCACTATACCTTCACTACATACTTAAGAGGGTGTCTCAGGAAAGTCTCCGCCAAGAGTGTTTGGGAGAATGTGTTCAAAACTGTTCATAATTTTATCTTCCTCCTCCTTACTTTCTACAGTTTTTAAGTTCATTGGGATTACATGAAGATTACCCCCACACACACATATACACCGCCTATTTCGCCTGATGATTATACACTAACGCTACCTCTGGGAAGTAGGGTATAGGGTAGGTTAGGTTGTTTACTCATCAGGTGAAATAAACTGGGGTGCCTAATCTTCACGTGATCCAGTTCATCAAACAGAGGAAGAAATTGAAACTCCTCGAAACACTCTATTGTATTTAGGTTTGGTGATAATTAATCAGAGGGAGCTGAAAGGGTCAGTGTGTTGAGCGCTTCTTGATATGTGGAGTGGGAAGGGGAGAGAATAATCTCGCATGCCCTCTTCTGCACTTATTTTTAGTTTGTTTTCGTTGTGTGGCATTTAGGGAGGAAGACCAGGCAGGGGAGGCATAGATGAGCTAGGGAAGTATGAATGTTGAGTAAACACTGAGGAGCTCGGGCGCTGGAAACTCTGAGGGACTCGAGTCGGTGGAGGAGGTGGAGACGGAAACTGGAGGTTTTGACGACTGTACTGACGTGTGTTTTTTAATTCAGTTTGTTATCTATAGTGACGCCGAGGAGCTGGGTGGAATCCACAACCTGGAGTGTGTTGGGGCCGAAAGTATTGAAGGAGGTGGGACATGATCGGAGGAAAGGTCGATGGGCAAAAGTAAGTGTGTGTGTGTGTGTGTGTGTGTGTGTGTGTGTGTGTGTGTGTGTGTGTGTGTGTGTGTGTGTGTGTGTTTGTGTGTGTGTTTGTGTGTGTGTGTGTGTGTGTGTGTGTGTGCGCGCGCGCCTTGTAAAAACTCTAACCTTAGTTCGGAGAAACTTAATAAAACCCTAAAAAAAAAAAAGATACCAAACATTCGGATCTTTTTAACCCCTTATAAAATGACAAAAAATGCACAAACCTTACTTCTTTCAACAATAATTGTGTAGGTCCAATAGGAAGAAATACCTCTGTTGTACATATTCAAAGGTGTAAACATGACCGAACTGCAGCTCAGGATATACGCTATTGAGGGTATTGACCTTTGGCTCCACATCTTAAAAGGAGCCAAAGTAAAGGAAGTTAAAAAAAGGTGCCTGAATGTATTAAACCAAGGGACAAGTCTGCTAATTTTCAAGTTAATTGGCCGAGAATTGTGAGGCGATTAATTGTTTATAATGAACAGAACTTACAATAGTTTACCCTCCTGAGCTGCCATAGAAACAGGTCTCCGCCACACCTTCGATTATGAGAAACTAAATCAATAATCCTAGAACGTCGAAATTCACAAGAACATTTCTTCTTGCTGAGGATGTGACGATGCCTGTTTCACCGAGACTAAGGCCTCATATTAATGATAAAGATGGCTTCGATAGTGCACTAGGACTGTGTCTTATTCGTATCTAGTGATGAGAGAAAGAAACGAAGATTAATGTAGGAAAAATACTTGTGGCACCCATAGTTTGCAGGTCTGATACACAAAAAAAGGAAGAAAGGGACTGACGTAAGCAACCACTACTTTAAAATTTTATTAAAAATACCGACTCCTCCATCAAACTCCCGACACCTCTTGAGCTACTGTGACGTCATAGAGGCAGTAACGTGGGAGTGGCGAGCAACACAACGCTAATATGTTCAGTATTTATAAGTCCAAGTTCCAGTCTCTAACAATTAACATAATAAAACAACAAAAATACTGTTGATAACTCATAATGGCTAAATTGTTAATTTTCGTGTGTTGTAAGAGTTGTAAAATTAGACATGTGAGAGCCTCGGAGTATAGTTAACATGGGGGCTCAGTATTGCTCAGCTGCCAGTGTGTGTGCGTGTGTGTGTAATAATAATAATAATAATAATAATTAACGGTTTATTGAAAAAGTTCTGCAGCCCGAAGGCTGAAAATATACATTGGACATAAATGACTTATTACATACATTGGTGGTTTAACAAAAGCCTTCATTAGAGAAAGGTAAAGGAACATACAGTGAACATACAGATTAATGTAGGTGTTGAACAGCAAACACGTAGTGTAGTAACTCTCTCCCAGATGGTGTAAGGAGGGACCTCACGTGGTGTAGTAGTTCCCTCACAGATGGTGTTATGGGGGGCCTCACGTGGTGTAGTAATTCCCTCACAGATGGTGTTATGAGGGGCCTCACGTGGTGTAGCAATTCCCTCACGATGGTGTTATGCGGGGCCTCACGTGGTGTAGTAATTCCCTCACAGATGGTGTTATGAGGGGCCTCACGTGGTGTAGTAATTCCCTCACAGATGGTGTTATGAGGGGCCTCACGTGGTGTAGTAATTCCCTCACAGATGATGTTATGAGGGGCCTCACGTGGTGTAGTAATTCCCTCACAGATGGTGTTATGAGGGGCCTCACGTGGTGTAGTAATTCCCTCACAGATGATGTTATGAGGGGCCTCACGTGGTGTAGTAGTTCCCTCACAGACGGTGTTCTATGAGTGAGGTGTGGTCCCAGGCCTTCCTATCGTAGACGGATTAACACATCGCTGTTGTTGGGTCGGGCCGTTATCGCTGAGTACCTGGGACCTCACTGTGTGAAGGTCAACTTGGGTACCACTGCCACTGCTGAGTTGTTCTCACTGACTCAAGCACTGTTCACCACCGTTCACCTCTGTTTAACACTGGTTCCATTCCTTTCCTAAATGAAATAGCAACTTCTAGCGTGAACTTGTTGATATTCCGGTGGGGAGGAGGGTTCAGGGGAGGGAGCTGGTATGGGCCAACTTAACAGTTGACCTGGCAGCTCCGAGAGGAGCGCCAGGCACGTCTTGACCCTTCGGTGGTCAAGTGTGTGTGTGTGTGTGTGATGAATGGATATTTATTGACAAGTGTGTGTGTGTGTGTGTGTGTGTGTGTGTGTGTGTGTGTGTGTGTGATAATAATAATAATAATAATAATAATAATAATAAACGGTTTATTAATAGAGTTGCAGGCGGTGGCTGAAAATATAGACACATTAGATTTAGACATAATGATATAATATGCATTGAATACATTTACAAGGCTGTACAGTACATAAATCAGGAGTTGTTTATCATTTTAACAATAGATGGGATGGTGCTGTTCTTATATCTATCGGTGCGGGCTGTTATGGGCTGAATTTTGTTGTAGTGGCGGACTGCGCGAGTTGGGTGGTGGGCTACAGGTGGCAGTAGATGGCGAGGGTGGTGCAGTACTGCAGTAGTCCACTGCCAAACCTTTCCAGTGCTTGGTGGTGGAGGTCACTGAGGGATGGCATTTCCAGGGTGGAGAGAGCGTTGGTGCAGCCGGAGTATTCTGCTCCGAGCATGATTCTGCAGGCCCTTTTCTGTACCTTCTCTAGCTGACGTTGTTGGGTGGAGTTGAGAGAAGACGACCAGGCTGTGTGTGTGTGTGTGTGTGTGTGTGTAAAGTTTGTATATTTAAATTATATTTTACTGTTTAATTCCTGTTTAAATTCATGTTGTATGAAATTATTAAAACAAAAATTTTCCCTGATGTAAAGTATTGAAGTGGTTCTTTGATGACGTCACGCTAGGAGCTGAGCGCTAGTTCTTTCACCAGGTTTTACTCTAAAACTTTACTTTTATTTTCCAGATTTTTTATATATTTTATATGTGTTAGATACCAACAGTAACACTGAAAAAATATATATTAGGGCTGAGGTTAACCTTTAAGTATATGAATGCTTTACCTCAATACAAATGTTCTTTAGCAGTACGAAATGTGAGGCTGTTAACACTTTCCTGGATACTGTCGATAAAGAGAAAGATCTTGGCGTTGTTATAGATCAGTCGCTGAAGGTGACGCAACAAGTGAGGAAAGCAAACCGATTTAGGAATTATAAAGGACAATGCCCCATCAACTATATAAATCTCAAGTTGGTCCCAGTCTGGATTACTGTTTATAGGTATGGGAACCCTACCTACAGAAAGACCTAACATCCCTAGAAATGGTGCAACACAGCGACTAAGATGATTCCAGAACTATGTCATCTCGATTATCCATCCCTCCAGACAAGGCACAATAGGGCAGATTTCATTGAAACATTTAAAATCCCGAAAGGGATAGAAAACGTGAACCCGGGACATTTCTTGGTGATGACAAGCACCACCAGCACGAGAGAACATAACTATCAGCTCGCCAAGTTATTATGCAGAACGGTAAGGAAATACTTCTTCACACAGCCTGGTAGACCTATAGAACGGTCTACCAGTCCAAGCTGTGGAGTCCAGAACAGTAGTGGGTTTCAACACCGCCCTTGACAATATTGTCAAGAACAATGGACGAATCTTACACAGGCCAATGACCTCCCTCTGCATGGCCACACCTCTTGTCGGTAGACAAGGTATGTACAGTAGGTGTATATACCGAGTTAATAAACATATTTTTGTTGCATAAAATGAATCTACGATAATTTTCAATGGTTGTTAGTTATGAAAACATTATTGATAAAAGTAAGTGTTTGGGACGGTTTATATTGCTGGGTTTTCAAAGAGCCGTACCCGTAAAAAAGTTAATTAATTAACTAATTAATTTTTCACGTGATAAAAGAAGCCAGTGTGTTAGCATTAATTTATGAGTCTACGCCTACCTCATGCCTAATAGTAATTAAATATATTCATGATAGCACAGGTGCCTCATGCTCGGTGGTGCTGACTTAGGCAACAGTTTTTTGTTTTTGCTAAACTCTGTTAATAATTAATAAGGAAATGTTGCCATATGGTTATAACTCTCTCTCATAGCTCGTTCTGATGATGAAGTTATAGTTGGAAGTCCTTGATAGCTCTCCTATAATCGTGGTGATCAGTGTGGAGTGATGTGGTCAGGATGATATGGATGATTGGAATGTTTTTTGCAACCTCTCACGCACTCTATCTCTCTCTCTCTCCCGCAGGCGGCGTGATGCTGTGTGATGCGGGTGAGAGGCGGTGGACGGCTGGGGCTCGCCCTGCTCTCCCTCACCACTCTCACTCTCCTGCTGCTCCAACACTGTCGCCTCTCCCTTCACCTGCACGGTCAGTACCTGTCTCTCTCCCTCACCACCGACACTCCCTCACCACCCACTTTCTCCCTCCCAACCCACCTGACCACTCACTCTCCCACACCACTCGCAATTCATTGGTATTTTCTTATTCACTTGCCACCTTCTCTATATACCAACTCCATAGCTCAGTGGCAGGACATCCATCCCTCTCGCAAGCCAGTGGTCCCAGGTTCGATTCCCGGCCACAGAGGACTACTGGTGTTCACCCTTGTCCACCTACCCACGAGTACTCAGTGTTGACAGGAGTCTTCTGGCCGGTGTAGTTGCTGATGAATAAGTAAATATTTATTATTGATTGCGATCCTGATGTTAATGACTCACGTCACTGACAGATCAACTTTCAGCTTCACGTCTCTACTCTCCTACGTGAAAAATATTTCATTAATCCGCCGCCACAAGTCTTTCATTAATCACTGTGATATTTATCTTTCTCGATCTTATTAATGTATGACCTTCAGCGAAAGTTTGTTTCTCAGAGGGCGCGAGACTAAATAGGTCAGGGGAGAACTGTGGTGACTATTTAAAAAGGTCAGCTGTGTCTTGATGGAGTTAGTCGTGTGTGTGAGACAACTTGTGTACATCATGTTAGTGGGTTAGGAATTGATGTTATTGTTGATGACAAACAAATGTGATTTATTCATAAAATGAACATTTAGGATCCCTTCAAGGGGTGAAAATAAAACTGCATCACAGAGGCCTGACGATCTACAGGGGGCAGTGTGGATACAGCACACTGTATACTAAGCTTTCAGCACAAATAGGTAATGCGATCAATGCTACACTCGACCGCCTTCACCTCTCCAATCGCTAAGTTAGGTATAGCTAAAGACAAAAGTCATGTCTTCGTTTTGTCCGATGATCACGGTACATCTAATGAACCGCACTGAAAGCCAGGCCACAACAACATCCAGGCAGTTGGCAACCTGAATCCAGCTGTTCCATGATACGAGGAAGCGCGCGCCGAATGGTTAGCCATTCACGAGATGTTTCCACCAATTTTCTGGACACGACTTTTATCTTTATACCTCTTCATTGCTGGGAGTACCAAAGGTGCCCTGGCCGCGAACCAACAACCCTTAAGACAGGAAGCAAGTCTCAGAGAACCACAGACCCTGAACTATCCTGTGTTAACTTTTTATCCACAAGGTTCCTCACTATCCGGACACCTGGAAACGATACCGGGCAGAGTGAGTTATCGTTGTCTGTCGAGAATAAAGAGTGAACTTGTAAGAATTGACAGAGAATCGAAGAAAACAAATACTCTCCCGTGAACTTTTGGTCAGATTGACTGCAACACACCTGTATATTATGTCTGCTGACTTGTGTTGAATAAAGTAACTGTGACGTAAATGCTGGATATCACCAGTCTCCGGGGATAAGTGAGCGACCTGACCTTTATAGTTTTGACTATGTTGGACACTGAACACTCCTCCGGTTGTTTAACACTTTCAGACATAACTGTGTCAAAGAATCCCGAAAGACATGGAATTTGAAATAGCCTTAGTGTTAGAACCCTGTGCTTATTATTATTATCATCCTTAATGTTGTTATTATTATCCATGTTAGGTGTTCTCGGGTCTGTAGCTCTAGTAGTTTTCTGTAATGTTAGCTTCAATATCTTGATTAAGACAGTGACCTCTGTTGGAGCGGCCATCAGCTAAATCCAGATAGATACAAGTAACAGTGGTGATCATCGACGTGCGTGTATGCCTCTGTTAATTCTTCCTCTAAGTTGAGCATTGTGAGTGGCAGCACCTGTGTTAAAGAGACCTTCCTGGACGATCTCATTTAATAGGTGGCCTCACAGTCACATTGGCGTCACGTCCACATGGTCATTTTCATTTTCAGATAAAATAGCACCGTAAAAACTTTCAAAGGTCATCCCGTGGCCTCACATCGATTCGGTCAACCTTCTGAATTATTACTTGGTCCATTTTGCTGGAACTGCTCCACTGGACCGTAAATACCTAAAACCTGTCCTAGTTAAATGTACTTTACAAGACATACAGACTGCTTGACATATCTTCCGAATGCAATATGAAGTGGAGAAAATTTTCTAGTAAAATGTGCAGAATTAATATATCTTGTCAAGGTTGATGGGAAGCTAAACAACTTGTACTCAGTATATTGAAAGAGTGTATGTAGTTCACACCTGTTGATGGACTCAGGGGGGGATTACTAAATTTCTGGAAAGTTACCTTAATCACCAGGATCTTGATTATCAAAGGTTCGTGTGGTAGATATTCCTGGTAAGTGATCATATAAGAATGCGGCCACCGTGACAGTGAACGTGTGCAGTGAAGGTCGATTCTCTGAGATTTTTATACCCCATATTTCTACTTAAACTATTTAACCAGTTAGTTTTATTCTTTTGCCGTGTTTTACGAGAGATTGTTATCGCGAGGTGTGGCGTCAGCGGTAACAGTGTGGTGGTAGAGTTGGATATGATCTTTGAGACGCACCCTCGCTCTAAACTCTAAAGTCACATTAACTATATGAAGAAAAAAGACGTTAAACAAACACACTAGAGACTGTTGACCTCTCACTGCCAGTCATTAGGGTGACGTACAGTACTTCCTCCCTTGACCTTAGTTGCTCTTACTGTCATCACTAACCCTTTTCATCAATACTGATCAACATCCAGGTTCTTGGAGGGAATGATCACTAGGTGTTCTTAGTACTTAATTATTCACACGTAGACAGACCACAGTACCTTCACCCCTCTCCTCACCCTTCGCAAGGTCAGGAATATTAAGTGGGGGATCATGCATTGCACCACACCACACCTTACAAGAGGGGTGCACTGGGTACCTTCACACCTCCCCCCAGCAGCGCCCCGTGTCATGATGCTGCTACCACCGGTGAGGCGTGGCAGTGACTTCATCTGACCTTCAATTTATTCCTAACTTGTTTATCATCAGCTTTTGGCTGACTTGCGAGTCAATGAAACCTGTCCTGAAATATTTTAGAACCAAAATTGATCCTCAGATTTAAGGTCGGGCCAACTTATATGAATTACATACTGTGGTATATTTGGTCTTTTCTTGAAGGTAACGTTGTGTGCGTGCGTGCAACTGTTCATCTCACAGGCTGGGTCTTGGTGCCTCTTTGTGACCCAAGTTGGCGTGTCAGTAAAGTGATACTTGTCTATGGTCCGTTCTCTCTCTCTCTCTCTCTCTCCCCCTCAGTCGTAGTACATTTTTCTTTCCTCTCTCTTTCGGTTGCCTCAATCCAGTGCACCGTCTGCAGTTAGAGGTAGAAGTTTAAACGTACAAATCATTAAGAGTGCATATCAGAGTTAGCGAAGGTGGTGTTGTAGCTCTGACGAAGTAAAAGTCTCGTCCCGGGCCTTTCCCTGTTTATATAACTTGACACCCCGTCAGTAGAGAAGGTCACCTGCCACCTCCGTACAGCTTCACCTTCACTTGTTGCTCTCTAAGTTCCCGTGTGAATTAATCTAGCCATTCCTCAACACACCACCTCCACCATTAAGCTTTAGCACGACTCCCAAAAGCCACATCATAGCTCGCAACGCATTTCACAGTGGTAACACTATTAGCCTGAGACCCTGGGTGATGTTCTATCCCACACAATAATTTTGACATAAGAATTATTACAGCTGTTGTAAGCCACCGTCACCACAACCTCACAAACCACAGGAGTCGATAGTCATTTTCTGGGATGACAATCGAGAGACCCGGTTGAGTATTATATATATATATATATATATATATATATATATATATATATATATATATATATATATATATATATATATATATATATATATATATATATATATAACTAAAAGAAAAAAATATTTTTTAAAACAAAATAAAATATCATTTAAGGGTGATGTTTACTCCTACTTCCTGGTCTTACAATGCTAAACACTTCAGTTCTCTGCCACTACCTCGTGCTAATTTTTTTACATAAAAATTGGTGGAATGTGTGGAGGTGTTACTACTTCAGCGGGTGGGAAAGGAGGAAATGAATTGGTTTAAGGAAGCGGCTAACGAGCCGATCAGCGGTGAAGAGGATAAAAAAAAGAAAACTAACAGAGTGGAGAGAAAATATATACTTATTTAAAATGGACGGTGGTACAGTACCTAGCTTAGACTTCCTACCGATGCTGTTACAAATATAACGTCTCGTCCATCTCTCTCTCCTCCAGGATATATAACAAACATGCTGGTGAGGCCTCACACAGGGAGTAAACGTGGAGAAACTCAAACAAAAGAGCTCTATTTTACATTAGCTTAAGATGTCTAGCCCTGGGGAGAGTTGAGGTGCAGGGTCGCTTGGAGTTAGTGTTGTGTTGATGGCAAGTTTCACTTACATAACCGCTAAATTATTTAATTCATTCTTCAGACGACTCAACTTTACCCGCCCTAACTTAAATTTTACGAGTCAAGGATGAATTTGTTGAGGTTTGCTAAGTGTCGTCATATTTACAAAATTAAATAAATGTGTAAACGGCGTTTCCCCTCATAGTGCATGTCGTACATGCCAATGTTTACCTGTCTAAACTGGTTCAAATATTTGTTGTTGTTTTTTGTTTTGTTTTTTAAAAAAAAAGACCAAATGTTTTCTTCAGTTCATCATGCGTACTTTTTTATTGGAAGGAATTCAGGTTTAAATAATTTGGTGCAATTATCGTAGGTAGTAGATAGCTACCAAACAGGGAGGTACTAATGCCTGGGAAGATATTGTACAGTAAGCATAATGTGTTGTCTAATGGTAGACCCTGCTGCCATATGGCATCACAAAAATTGTGACCAAGTCCCAGGCTGCTTATCTAACTTTCTGCCTCATTTTCACACAATTGCAGGGTCTCAATTGTTTCTCTGACAACACAACACACATACTGTATATTGTTTCTCACTCTTGCTCTTTTTTTTATTATTATTTATGGTCCTTTATTATTAAGTATTATTATTACAGTATTGTTGTTATTCTTATATTGGATTT